TTTTTTTTTTTTTTTTTTCACTTTCTTTCTTGTGTGCAATATGATCCTTGGTTTTTGTTCTAAGGAAATAATGACAGGGCCTTGCAGTGGAAAAAGATGGCACCACAAGAGGCACTTCCGCTTCACCCTTTCGCGATTTCGCCGCGCCACTGCCCCTGCCTCACACTGCAGCCGTTGATTTCAGGCAAACTTTTGAAACCACATTTCGTATTTGTCGTCAAACATAATTTGTTATATTTAATTTCGAGCTAGAATTTGAAGTTCCTTCGCTTTCTTGTAGCAAATAAGCTAAGTCATTGGTAGACCATAGGTGATAACGGTTGTGACTGGATAAGCTTCTTAGTAAGCATTAAAAAAAGGACAAGACTTAGGTACAGTATCTTATATATTGTTGGTGTTGTTCTCCATTGAGAATTGAAGTTTCACCTTGATAATATGCATAAATATATATCACCAAAGTTTGCATTAAATGTGAATGCGTACTTTTGAGGTGAAACTCTAATACTAATTGGAGAATGGCGACAATGGTACTTATGCTATTGTACTTAAGTTTTTTCCTTTAAAGAATGCAAAATGAATTAAAATCTTGTCATAAGTTAAAACCAACTTATGTGTTTAGCTTTTGAAGAAGTTAGATGAGAGAAAACTCCCTTACAAAATGTCATGTTATCTTGAAAGTTGCGTTTTGTTATGGCAGCTCTGCAGCTGATATGAAAGGTTCCTCAAAGAGCTTCCCAAAGCATGAAACGCGACACCTTTCGGAACACAAGGTGTGCAATATGCTTTGATAACATATACTTGTCCTGAAAAATACTGTGATAATTCTGCTTTGTTTTGGACTGATTGGCTTAGTTTCTAGAATATTGCCAGATGTGCTAGGTTTAGTGCTGATGGAAGGTTTGTTGCCACTGGAAGTGCTGATACATCAATAAAGCTATTTGAGGTGCTGATTTGTTAGTTAGAATTTAGACGTATTGCTCCTTTTTTGGCAGGGATTTTAAGTTATGTTTGTGCATTTATCTTGCAGGTTTCAAAGATCAAGCAGATGTTGCTATCAGATGCAAAGGATGGTCCTGTGCGGCCTGTCATACGAACATATTATGATCATATACAAGTATATTTGTGTTTTCCTGATATACCTGTATCTGAAGTTGTGTGGTTATTTTTATGAGATTTAGTCTTTTTGGTTATATTTGACTAGACCTTTGGGAGTTCATTGTTGTAATTATTTTTAGCTTGCCAAATTTACTTATCACAAAGCTGTTATATATCACATGACAATTTCTGTCTGTCTTTGTTGTGGATTTTTTTGCTCTTATGTTAATGAGTTTTGGCAGTTGCATCTTTTCATGTGTCTCGTTAGGCATTTACTTTATAAGTTGTTGAGTTTATGAAATGACCCTTAGAAACTACACTTGTAAATTTGATTCTTTTTTCTTCTTATATTTATGACAAATCTGCAGCCAATAAATGATCTGGATTTTCATCCACAAGGTACTATCTTGATTTCTGGAGCCAAAGATCAAACAATAAAGTATGATTTGTTCCGCAATATGCATCTCACCTGTATGTTTTTCTCATTTTTCTGTTCTTTTTGGAAATGCTCAAGCAATCTGAAATGCTGAATTTAATATTGTTTAGGTTTTTTGATATTTCGAAAACAAATGCAAAGAGAGCGTACAGGGTGATCCAGGTTGTGTTTTCCTACCTTTCATTAGCAACAAGTGAGCAAGAACTAAATATAAACTTCCATTTCTCTTTAATTTCTGTTGAGCAGGACACACACAATGTTCGTTCTGTATCTTTTCATCCCTCTGGGGACTTTCTGTTGGCAGGTATTTATTTTTACCTCATTGCTCCTGCTAAAGCTATATGATCTGCTAATTGTATTCTTTTCTTTAATGCTGATCTGCATTTCCGTGTTCATGTATTCCTTAATGGTTGTAAATCAGTAATTATGAACACCTTGCTCTGATATCCCTTGAATACACACTTCATGTTCACTGTTCAGAGTCAAATTGTTATCTGTACACCAATTGCCACCAAGCTTAGAACGTCACTGCTCTACTGGGTGGCGTGTCGATAGTGTGACTATTAATGGGGAAAATCCCGTCTTTGTTTGTAGATTACTTCGTTGTTTTCTTGATTATTTTTTTCACACAAAAAATCCAAGTTGACAAATATCAATTTCTGACAGGGACTGATCATGCAATTCCCCATTTGTATGATATAAATACCTTTCAGTGTTATCTGTCGGCAAATATCCCAGAGACTAACCCAAATGGAGCCATAAATCAGGCATGTCAATTATCCCTAGACAAACTAATAATTATATCTACTTTGCTTTTGTTGAAAACTACAGTGATGCCAATCCTTTTTGACTGATTTGTAGGTCAGATATTCTTGTACAGGTGCCATGTATGTTACAGCATCTAAAGATGGTGCTATTCGATTGTGGGATGGCATCACTGCCTCTTGTGTGCGCTCAATAACTGGAGCACATGGAACAGCTGAGGCTACCAGTGCAAATTTTACTAAAGATCAAAGGTATAAATATATTTCGGATAAAATGAAAACACATGTTGATAGACTATAACATACCATGAGAGAATGATAGTGCCACTACTAACTACATCATGAGTTTGTCTAGAAATGTGTGCTAATGTTGACTTTGAAAACATAGCAAAAAAGTATTGTTGACATTGAGGTGGGTGCTTCCTTTGTTTGATCTCAACATCAGAATTAACAATCTGCAATAACCTCCTGTTTACTACTGTACTCATTAAGAGCTTTTGTTTATTTGATCAATGTAATCTTTTCCCACCAAGAAAATAAAACGTAAGACAATAGTTGTTGCATTCTTTACTTGTTCATTGCTTTCGATGCAGTGGATATAGCTGCTGATGCCAATTGACCTACTCGATACACTTTCCTGAAGTTTTTGATAAGCTTAGATTAGTGTAGACATGTAGTAATGTAACTGTCAGTTTTATAGGTTTGTTCTGTCCTGTGGAAAGGATTCTACCATAAAGCTTTGGGAAGTTGGCTCTGGAAGATTAGTCAAACAATATCTTGGGGCCATGCATACCCAGCTAAGGTGCCAGGTACATAGATACATTCTATTGGTAAATTTAATCTTGGTTAATTCATATATTGATAAGCCAACCTTCTAGTACAGTATTGGTGATGCAGATGCTTACCGAGTGATGTTTGTGCTTGTCTTTTGTTTAATTATTTTTTTGGCCTATCAGTTTTTAAAATGTCTTTTTAATTTATTAATCACAATTCACAAGTAGTTATTGTTTGTCACTACATCGGAAATAAAAAGATCATCCATAAGTTGTTTTGTTGGGTACTTTCCAAAGCAGTTTAGCAAACAGGATCTCTATCCAAATTCTAAACCTCTAATCATGCAAGTCTAAAAGTCTATTTGAATAGAAGTTTAGAAGAGTTTTTGAGAACTTCTCTACATAACTCTTTATTTTCAGTAAAGAAACTTTCAAAAACACTTCTAATTTAGATCCAAATAAGTTCCAAGTCCATGTGACATTTGTATTCATATTCTGATAGTTGACTGTGTGAACTCTCTTTTGCCAGGCTATTTTTAATGAGACAGAAGAATTCATTCTATCCATAGATGAGCTGAACAATGAGGTTTATTCATCTTCATGTTCTTCATGTTTACTGTGGTGATGTTAGCTTTATCAAATAGATTAATTTTATTTAAGGAATCTGGTGTACCTGGCAGATCGTTATCTGGGATGCGATGACAACAGAAAAAGTAGCAAAGTGGCCATCTAATCATGTTGGTGCACCCCGCTGGCTTGAACACTCGCCAATAGAGTCTGCTTTCATTTCCTGTGGAACTGATAGGTCAGTTAGGTTCTGGAAGGAAACTGTATAATAAAGTGGAAGGAGGTTGAATGCATATGACGGCACTGGTTAAGGGTATCACTGATTGAAAATAAGCTCAGGAAATTTCACTTTATTTTTGTTTAATTTCCGGCAGTAGGCTTACCCTTTAGAAGTGGTTAATGCATGCATTCAACGCTTGAAATTGTAAGATTATTTATCTCTGGTGATGTGATGTGCTCAATTTTTCAAGCAATTATTTCTGTTTCAAATACCATATTTTCATGGAAGCAGCTTAAAGTTGGATTGGATGGTTCTTTTTGTATTCCCTATTCCCATTCCACTTTCACGTTCTCTAGTCACATGCCTGAACCGAAGCTACTTAAACTAGCCTAAAATAATGAACGAACAGAAATTCAGTTAAGCCACTAAAATTGGATTATTGATATAAGAGGATAGTTCAAATGGAACTTCTTTAAATGTGATTAGGACTTCCATCATATTCAACTAGATAAACTCACCTTATTAAGAAGAAAATAAGGTAATAGGGTAAGGGAAGGAATGAACTAGATACTTGTTGAGCTTCGATCTTCAACTTTTTTCCTTAATCTTCTTGAGTCACTTATCTGTGGAATTCCTCACAATAGACTTTTTTCTCACCCAACCTATAATGAATTAAATGCGAAAAATAAAATATAACCACGGCAGCACAATGTTATCGAGAATTTTAAACATGCTTGTGTCGTCATGATGTGCAGTTGCCTGAACTGCAGTATAACCTTGTTGCAGAATCTTTTGTTATTCGCACTTTTTCTTTATTTTTTTATTTTGGCCCTTCGCACTACCCAATTTCATTTTTGTAATTTTTTTTAATAAAAATACTTTTAACAGAAACTAATTTCTATATTGTATCTAGAGTGGAGATGAGGTGAGTATTAAGTACACTAGAAATTAGCTTTTGTTGTATAACTATAATTCATCCAAATACCCAATTGGAATTAGTTTTTGTCGCGAATATTTTTATAAAAATAAATTAAAAAATGCGGGCAATGCGAAGAAGAAAAGGAGCCGTGTAAGTAGTTAACCTTGATCCAAAATACACCTGGGATTGTATGGAACTGCTAGAGCCCAGCTTATGAAAAGCGAACACCCACTACATCATGTGAGTTAACATTTTTTTATTACTTTCATCAAACAGTTGTGTTAGATTTTTTTTTTTCTTTTTAAATGATAGAATGATAGAGAAGAGATGACACTTGAATAAAAAGCCAATAACATATTACAAATTTTTGGACTTAATACCACAGTTCACTTAGTGAATAACCAAAGTGCAATGATGTCAAAACATATTAGATTTGATCAATTAAATAGGAATCCACAGATAAAATAAATGGATTCAGGTAAATGTAATGAAAAATTACCTAAATGACAATTCATATAAACTAAAATGTCCTGACTTCCCTTAATTTTTCTTTCTACTACTCTTGATGGTCAAATTGTTACAGTTAGTTCAAAATGGCTTTAAGCTCTTTGTACTCTTTAGTTAGGAGACAATTGCAAGCAAATCCTTCTTCCCTGGTTCTAGAGCAGCAACATCGCATATATACTCATCAATCCGTCAAATAATCAACAACTGATTTTTGTAACTAATGTCAGCATGTGCTTTTTCAGCATTCTGAAAATGAAACATTTCCTACACTGCTAGATTTCAGAAACTTGATCGTTCAATTCCATAGTATTCATATTAATACAAAGTTGGGTGAGCATTCATCGATCATGCATACGATGCATCCAAGTTCCAATCACCACTATACAATTATTGACTCTGATTTTGTTAGGATCCACATCTATAAACCCCATTCGCCAGTCAAACACATGTAAGCTACTCCCATTGAATCAAACATGCACTCCACAAATCCCATTCACCAGAAAAATCACGTCAAATACACATAAGCTACTCCAATTAACTTATGATCGATGCGGATCAAACTCGACATGATGAAGAATCAAACATGCCCTCAAACTCAACCTATCAAAATCCAAGTTCCAGCTAACTAACATTATATACAATGATCAAACCCACTAGCCACTAGGTCAGTGACTCCATGAAGCACCTCATATTCTTCACATCTTCAACACTTTCCCGAAACTTCTCCGGCTTAAACAGCACCCTTCCTCCTCAAATACTCCACCACACTATACCTGGCCACAATCTGCTTCTCAAAACTCACCCCCAAGTACTTAGAGTATATTTGTTTTATTGTTAAAATTTTGCAAACTGAAAAGATGTAAAAAGTTGCTTTATATTTTGGTGCTTGGAAAGAGTAATTTTAAGTTTCGTTAAAAAAAACGGATTTCCAAATACACTCTTAGTCACCTCAGCCAAACACTCCACATCACACTTCATCCTCTGCACCAAAAACTCAACCTTCCTCTCAATATCCCCAATCTCATAACCAATCACCCGAGGCTCCTTCCACAAAATCTTCAAAGCATCCCTTCGGGTCAATCCATAGCCACACAAACAATCCACTCTTAGCTTCACTTCCAAACACGCCCTCACCAAACTCTCTCCATAGTGACGGACCTCTCCAGAGTGACGGATCCAGAAACTTTAGACAGTGAAGGTAATAATATTTATTCATATATTTGTAGTATTAAAAATTATACATATACTTTTTAAAAGTATAAATATATATCATAATTATTTTTTACAAGTTTTTATATCTATGATTATAATTAAAGATAAAAATAAATTAGGTCATACTAGATTATCTTATAATTTAGTAAGTTTGAATATACTTTTTAAAAAAATATATCCTAAGTATGACTTATTTATCTGTCATAAATTTTTTTTAAAGTATTTGATTAGAACTACAATTTTAAAGACCTAATTTATAATAATTTAACACTAATTAAAAAACATAAAAATAAATATGTTAAATTTTATAAAAATCAAGTTTAATTTATTTATGATATAAACATGATTTTAATATCTAATATGTGTTTTTAGATGATAGTTTATTTTAAAATATATTTTAAAATAAAAATTCTAAATACAACATAAATCTTTCGATATTTCCTATTTTGATTTTTTTTAATCAACGTATATAATAAATAGAAAACACAAAAGCTAAACATATATGCTGCAAATTTTATTTTATCAAAAATTGATTTTTTAACATATTATATTATATATATGAGTATTAAGATATATATATATATATATATATATATATATTATAATTAAACTTTTTTTTAAAAATTAATTCCTTATTAAGAATTTATTATAATTAAACTTTTTTTTTAAATTGATTCGTTATTAAGAAATATTCTTTATCACATAAGAGAATTAATCTTCTTAAAAAATTTGACAAACATCAAATAAATGAGTATCTCCTCCAAATTTATATTTTATACATATGATAATAAATATATATGTTGATTTTATTAAAATATAATTTTTATTTTCCAGGAAAAAATTCGACGTCATCTATTATTTCTTTATCTTCGCGTTGCACCTCCTTTTTCTTTTGCACTTGCTCTTCAATTTCCTTTGTATCTGGTAGCGATACTGCTTGTGAAGACCACAACGATGATGCTTCATCAAACACCACATTCCTGGATACGTAGCACCTTCCAGTCGTCAGATTGCAACACCTCCATCCCTTTCCTTGGCTGTCATATCCAACGAATATACACCAGATTGCTTTCTTCTCGAACTTGTTGTGTTCTTGGCCTGGCACAAAAACGTAGCACACACATCCAAACACTCGAAAGTAACTCACCGAAGGTTTTGTGTTCCACAACTTCTCACGTGGTGAAACGAAGCCTAGTCTTACCTGGGATAATCTGTTGATGACGTAAGCAGCGGTCTTCATGCACTCCGCCCAAAATCTTGGTGGTACATTTTTACTGTGTAACATGCTCCTGGATGTCTCTACCAGCGGTGCTTATTTTTTCTCTCCGCGATTCCGTTTTGTTGTGGGATGTTCAGGCATGTCAACTGCCTCCTTATGCCACATTTTTGCAAGTACTGCTTGAACTCCTTTGATGTATATTCTCCCCCGTTGTCCGTATGCAAGCACCGTATCATACGTCCAACCTCTTTCTCAATATTTTATTTGAACTCTATAAACTTCTTTAGTGCTTCAGTTTTTTCCTTCATAAAGTCTACCCACACGTACCTGGAATAGTCATCGATAATTGTGATCATATATTTATTCCTACTGATCGATAGCTGCTTCACCGGTCCAAACACATCAGAGTGCACCAGTTCCAATGGTGCCTTGGCCTTGTATTTTGACTCTTCATATGGAAGCTCGTGAGCTTTCCCATATTGACATCCAGCGCAAACGACATTCTCTCGCATCTCCAAGTTTGGTAAGCCTTTTAGCATAGACTATTTCATCATTGCTTTAAATCGATTATAGCTCACGTGTTCAAGTCTCGCGTGCCAAAGATCTGCTGTCTCATTCTTCCTTGCCTTGTTCACGTATGCCTCTTGTGCTGACATTACATAGACAGACTCTAATCGCCTTCCTTTCATAATTGCAGGGCATATAGGCTTGAACCTTCGATACACTCCTACGTCTTTTGGTCCAAACACCACATAATTGCCTAAAGTTGTCAATTGTGAAACTGATAATAAATTCTTCTTTATCCCGGGTACATGGTAGACATTGTCGACCTCTACTTGATGTGGACTAAAGCGGGGGACTATAGCGGCCTTTTCGATGTGAAAGATTGGCATCTTGGAGTTGTTTGCAGTCACAACAACTCTTTCTCCCTTATATTCTGACATACTTAAAAACTTTCCTTTGTCTCCAGTCATATGATTTGAGCAGCCAGAATCAACAATCCAATCATCATCATAATTGATTGCTTCACTCACTGTGACCAATGTTGATTCTTCTACTAGCTCATCCATGCATGATGCTACAATCTCTACACCTTCATCCCTCCGAGATTCCTTTACCGCATACGATGCATGGACATCCCATTCTTCTTTGTTCTCGTCCTGCTTAAGTGTGACTGTGTTGCCTTCTTCTTTCCTGGCCCAGCATTCTCGTACATAGTGGCCCTTTTTACCACAGTTGTAACATCGTCCATCCTTGCGCCGATATCTCTTTTGTTCTTCGTAGTCTTTAAATCGGGATTGCGTAGCTCCCCTTTGCTCTGGACCCTTCTTATGTTGGCCTTTCTGCCAACCTTGTCTTCTTTGTGGGCCTTTACTTTCGCTATCTAAATTTGCAGCTGCCTGAACCTCCTTTCGGCCT